AGACAGCTAAACATGCATGCACAGCCAGCTACCATTATTACAATTCCATCTGTTTAGAAATGTTTAGAGATAGGAACACTGGTACTTAGCATGAAACCAAGCTCCTACTTGTTCATAAGGCAGGGAATCACTGACTGTCTTGTACCGATCTGATCCCTTCCAGACATGTTAGAGTATAATATTCTTGTTCTCAGGTTGTCTTTGAGGGAAAGGGAAGTGAAGGAAGCCAAAAACTGAATGAAACTGATAGATCAATTTTTATATCTAATAATGGCAGATACACCGAGCAAGATCAGTACAGAAAACAGCAGGACAAGTTTCTGTGACCAGTGAATACAGGAGCCAATATCTGGACTAAAGGAAGGTTGATGAATCACCCTGTCCTTGTGGAATATGCTCAGTGAATAAGCAACTGATTTCTAATGGTCTTGAGACTGAAGTTATGGATACAGCTAGGTCTTGCTTAGTGCGGATAACGAATCCCATTAAATGGTCACATTATTTGAATTTGCACTATTCAGAGTGTATTTCTATGAAAAATAGGGTTCCAGCTCGACCGAAATAGGCAATGAAAATTCATATGTATATTAATGAAATATTAATACGGATTACAATCCTCAATCCATACAGTTAAAAGATGCTCTGTTTCTATCACTGCAACACTTCTATTCCTTGTAGATATTTGCAAACCACAAAAAGCTGATGCAACTTTACCTTTTTCTTTTATTTCCCCTGCATATTTTATAATATCATGTACTGTAGATTCAGGCATTCCAACATCTCATCCTATGTTAGCATTGCTATCACCATGTTCATATCGTTCAATTACATCAAATTTGTTCTAGTGTAAGAACCAGCCTCTTCTTTTTGAGCTTGTACCATTTTCCTCTGATGGAATCTTTTTCTCCATTTTGCACACACAAAGATTAGCAGCGTCTAAAACCCCAACTGCAACTGCGCATGTGCTAGCCTCACATTAACTGAATTTTCAGTCCCATTAAACACAACCTGGTATCAATTTACAATTCACACAAATTGAATATTGCATTATTCAAACTCGCATTAATTGCAACCTAGGTATGTATGAAAGGTTATCTTAAAAACAGTTTTGAAACTATTGCTGTTTTAATGCTTCGACAAGAAAACACGGGTAAGGCTGTTGGAAGATTTAGGAAAGAAAACTACTCCATGCAAATAGCTAAGTGGGTAGAACTAAGAGAAAGGTAGAGATTTGTGCTTTTAAAAATGTTAGGCTTAAAAGGTAGGTGCATTTGCCTAACATCTGGAAGGATGAAAACATGATGCTTGCCTTTTTATAATGTACCTTTTCCAGAAGCTTCATGTAAGGCATTCTAGTAGATGGTATTGTTGTGAATGTATTACATCTTTAGGAAATAGTAGAGTTTTAAGGAAATCATCCTTAAGCAGTCATGTGACCAGCAAAAAAATTAGACCAGTACTGATTCAGGTTCTCCAGCTACAAAAAAAGGTCCAGCGGGACTAGGAAGTGTCCTACAAGTTGATATAAACACTTTCTTCGTTTATTAACACTAACTGTAATTACTTGGCTATGATTTAACCTCAGATTTAGAACAGAATATGTAGCATATATATATATTAGGGAAAATTCACTTGAAAAAAGAGAAAACAGCAAGAAAGCTATGTACAAAAAGCTAAATCTTTTAAGTATGCAAAAATCCCATGCATTTTTGCATTTTATCATTTTACATTCATACAATTGATATAGAAATAAAGCAAAATGAACATATGGTCAAGAAAATCACAATTTGAGCAAAAAAAAAGAGAAATCAATTGATTCACCCAATTTACTCTGAAATAGTACAGGGGCCATTTCTGGTTACTTGTGGAACAGAGATCCTAGCACGGCAGTATAAAGCTAAGAGAGGCATCACCTGATTTCTTCTTATAAAAAAGCCAGCTATTTAGGTAAAGATCTGGGTTAAGCCTGGGAGTACCTGTCTTCTTTATTCAGCAACTGAACAGTAATGAGGCTCACTCAGTCATTTTATTGCAGTCTCAGACCAGTACAAAAAATGTGTCCGTAAGTGATCTGTAAAACAGTCTAGCTTAAGAAACCAGTAAATAAAAATTTAAGACAAAATGTAAATACATCTATAAAAGAGCCTGACTGGGACCCATGAGTGAAATCCAGTAATATTGTTGATAACTTTTAAAAATAATACAAAACAAAGGAATGCCAGGTAACTAAGAAGTAACCAGGGAAAAACCTTTGAAACGGGAACCAGCTTTGCTTCCAAACACTTTTGAGACATGTGAATGTCTCAGGGCTAGACTGGTGGCTCTTTGCTGCCATCTGATGACCTGTACAGATAGGTTTATGATTTCCCTAAGGAAATATGGCAGGGAAGCTGAAAAGCCTCAAATATGGATTCTCTTCCTCCTCTTTGTCACCAGACTTGAACATAGAGGCACATCGTAGCTCTAGAAGAGCTCTTTCTACTGAACTGAATTGGCTCCAACCTTCAATTGGCACAGGATGGCATCTATCTAACCTCCTCCCTCACATACAGATTTTCTGGGACTTGGGATGGAGCTGCAGATGGAGATCTGCAGACTGAAGTGGTACAGTCAGACACAGATTTGCTGACTCAGAGAGAAAAGGAGTAGAATCAAGGACCCCTTTGCACGGTTGCTAGGAAACTAACTTTGGCACACCCCATCATTTCCTACTTTTACTGCACCCTTACCATTTCTCCAAACACAAATCCAGAAGCCATTATTGGAAAGTTAAAGAACGTTTCTCTACATTGCAACCGTTGCCATGTAGGCTCCCAAACTCCCTGCCTGCCTACCCACCCGTTCACATGCCCCAGCCTCACCTGCATACACAGCAGCAGATTGTGGTGCACAGCTTGGAAGAGGGGGCCGCAAGGACTCAGCTTAGGAGCAGGACGCTCACAATGCTTCTGCAGCTCGTTCTCATATACTTGTTCAAAGGCTGTAAGCAGCTGGCTGTAGTCAGATACTATCAGCTTGAGGGACTGAAGAGCTGTGGCACTGTTGCAGGATGCATCGGCACCAGCGGGGCTCCCCTGCAGGAAGGAACACTATTCCCCCCCCCAATTTAAAGACAAGAGGGAATCAACTCTGTTTGAGGATAAGATACACAGGTAGTCCTCACTTAACAGCTATTCATTTAGCGACCATTCGAAGTCACAACGGTGCTGAACAAAGGGACTTACAACCGGTCCTTGCACTTACAACCATCACAGCACCCCTGTAGTCATGTGATCATGATCCAGGCACTTGGCAACCACACTTATGATAGTTGCAGTGTCCCGGGGTCATGTGATCGCCATTTGTGACCTTCCCAGCTGGCTTCCAGCAAGCAAAACCAATGGGGAACTGTGTGGTTTTCTTAACGGCCGCAGTGATCTGCTTAATGACCGCTGCAAAAAAGGTCATAAAATCAGGCATGACTTGCTTAACAACCACCCTGCTTAACAACAAATTTCCCGGTCCCTATTGTGGTCGTTAAGTGAGGACTACCTGTATCCCATAAAATGCCACCCATGCGTACAGGAGCAATAGTAATAAACAGGTAGTTAATGCCAACAGCCATTTCCCTGCCTTTCTGGCTTCCTTCTATCTTTTTTGCTTGCCTGGAAATTCCAAGCATCCCCTTGCTGACCCCCTATGGGAAACTGAATGAAATAGCCCTTTGCTGCAATCTAGCAGGGATGACCTCTGTTGCAATGAAAACACACATATGCACTACCCCTTAGAGCAGGCAGTTGTAAATGGATACAATATTTGCATAGTAAAAAAGGAAAACTAGAGGTGTAGCTTTTAATAGCCAAACCAGAGGGATGCAATATAACAAGAATAAAGAAGAGGCGGAGGAGGAAGAGCCTCAATAAATGGTAGAGAAGGCAGAAGAGGGAAGGAGACGACAAGAATTAAGGGAAATGCAGACAGAGACAAAGCTCCCTGGGAAAGTCTAATTAGGGCTGGCAACTCTTCAACATTGTTTTCTGGACACTTTGATATGAAAGCCTACTAACTGATAGGCATAACACAATTTAAGTAATCACTAAGTCATAGAACTGACACAGATGATCAATCCCATGAAATCAGATAACCTGTCTATAAGTATGCCTATACCGCTGATAACACAAAGTATCACAGCCTGTGCTCATAACTGCAGCGATGGAGCAAATAAACTGGAGATGACTCAGGAAGCAACTTCCAAGCCACCCTTCCCACTGTAAAACACATGCCCCTGCTTGATATAGCAGGGCTGTAAATTGCTTACTTGTGCTCTTAGATTTTCCAAGGCTGCTGCTGCCTTCTCCAGCTCCTCTGATGCTTCCAAGAGAGTTTGCTCGTGAGAAGTCATTGACAGCAGGGCCCTTTTGTAGACACAGACAAAGAAGCAGGTAGCAGGAGTTCATGGTTTCATCACTGATTTGAAAGGGAGGAAAACATGGGGAAAGGGAATGGAATCTATGGAAAAGCAGATCTCATTTTTACACTAATTCTCTCCTCTATTTGACCACTCTAGCCTCACTATAACTCTACAAGGACTTCTTGACTCTCTCCTTTCTATAACTCAACAGCAGGCACAGGAAGCTCACCTTTTCTGTTGTCCTTCTTCACCCAAAAGGAGGGGCTTTATATCTGAGCTCCAGGGATGACACTCTGGGTTCAACACTGCCTGCAGATCAGAGCTAGAGAAAACCTGCTTCATGAACTCTTCATTCTTCCTAGCTATTTCTTGGAAAGATTCCTCTGTGCTGCAAGAGAATGCTGGGGAATTATAAAGTGCAGGCTGTAGGGCAGCCTAACCTAGGAAGGAAAATTGGGATTGGTACAAAGAAAAAAAGAGGTCTAAAAACCAAGGAAGCTGTGATCTGTCTCCATTATAGGATGGAGGATGTTTGATATAATAAAAAATGGGCCCACAGCACTTGTTTAAGGCCAGCCATCTTAGTAAGTGTTCTGGCTGCAGAAAAGGGAACACAAAGGCTGCTGTGTTTTTGCTACAAGTTTCAGGACACATAGGGTCTATGGCTGGGTGCCAGTATCTATGAAATGATGTGTTTAAGATTCCACCATTATCATCTAATTCCTGTGTACCTCCCCCTTTGCAATCCATTCCAAATATTTATTCCAAAATTCAATTTTTAAAAAAAACACACACACACACAATTTTGGACTTCAACATTTTCAGGACAAAATATCTAGGATGGAGTGCTGATTTCATCCTAAAGTCTGAATCAGCATGCCTTTTAAGGACAGAATTCCAGACCTTCTGCCAACAGTACCAATTCAATCCTGCTCAGCAAGGATAGCGATATTCAACACCACACTAATTAAATCTATCTATCCATTCTAGCACAACAGCTGCAAGACCTAGGGAATGCTAATTGTGAGGAGGGGTACCTTGGCCTCCCCCCTCACCTGGAATAACTACTGGAGTCCGATACAGAGTCTGATAGCATGAGGTTATTTTGAGGTGGAATCACAGCCATCAGCTGTTCCAGGAAGCGGAGCTGCTTCTGAGCACAGGCCCTCCCCTGCAGGGACACAAAAAGGCATGCAAACACTTAGGATTTTGCCTTCCAGTAGTGACAGTATGACATAAGCAGGCCTCCCCCTCGGAGTTTGCCTCCATGCTCAGCCGCTGATATTCAGGGTGCACTGTGTCTGAGCAGCCCCTGTGTTAAATGGGGATAGAAGAAAACTATCAAGGACAAAGGCCTAGAAAGGGAATTCCATAAAGAAAAACAACATACACTTCATTTCAATCCTTTTCTTGTTGCATAACCTGAATTTTTAATTACTTAAAATGCTATTATGGGGGGAAAAAAGGAAACTGCTCATCATATCTATTGCAAGCCAGTAAAGCTGCGGGAAAGGTAAGAGTATAACGTGATCCATTCACAGCAGGCAATAGGGAGCTGACATCCACAATTAACAGTATGGAAATGGCATAAGGTGGCTATGGAGGGGACAGGAGCCTGCTTTTGCAAATGTTTTCCTGGTGCTTACCTTGATGAGATCCAGATCATCAGCTCGACAAAGCATCAGATCATACCCCAGCTTCACCATTCCTGTCAGGATAGGAGGAAGTTTAGCCACTCAGGTGTCAGGGTTTTCCACAAAGTTAAATCTGCTTTGAAGACCAAGTTCCCAGTCCTCGTAAACAATGGAGCTCATGAAGCACTTTTGTAAATGTTCCCAGTCTTCTCTACTTACAAATCGAAGCAGACCTCCAACAATATACCTATGGCAGCCTGCAGATTTGACCATTTCAATTTTCTATGGCTCTGTGTTGGGTGTTTCTTTTTTTAATTGCCCGGATACTTGACAACTTTCCAACCCTGAGTTTACCCATTCTGCTCTTACGACAGAGAGCAAAGAGGGAGAGCCCACTGTTTTAATACAATATACACTTAGATCCCAATGTTTCAAATCTTAACAAATCTTTCAAAAATCTACTTTAATAGGTTTTTACATTTCTACATCTGTAGAATGACATCAGCATGGTTGGCTCCATCAGGTGCCAGGAGATGATAGAGGTCAGGCAAGAGGCCAGATTGGGGAGGGCTATGGAAGCTGAACCAAACCTTCAGAACAAAGATATCATATTTTATTTACTTTTCCCTAATTCCTAATGACCATAGCAATGCCAAAATCCAATCTTGGAACAGAGTAGAGAAAAACTGTTCTTGGAAAGCAACATTTTCACAACAGATTAGTGCAAGACTTGGCTTGCACAAGTAATTTTGTCTTTGGCCCCGCTATCCATTTTTACAGAGACACGGAGAAGCTTGATACCAGGGCAAGATGCCTGATTCCTTCAGTGCCCACTCAGAGGGGATTCTACACAAACTCCCAGTCTGGTATTGCATGTACAATTCCTTGTATACTAAAACTCACAGTCAAATATTGAAGAGGGACTTGGTTCGGTGACAGGGCACCCATTTTACCCACAGAGAGTCCCTGGTTCATTTCCCAATATCTCCTATTCAAGAGAGCAGATAGCAACAGATGGCAGGAAAAAAATACTGCCTAGTCTTGGGCCAATTGGAAAAAAATACAATTCTGCTTTAGAGTAAATGCATGTTACCTGTTTTGAGCCAAGAGTTACATGCGCACACACAAAAGTAGACAGCCTCAGAACAAAAAATACTTAGCATTACTTTAAGCACTATTAATATGACTGCTCTCTTCACCTCCCTTTTCTTTCAGATTAAACATTACAATCTGGTCACAAGGTTTAGAGGATCTCTGAGAATTCCAGGGGCCACATGGACCCTCAGGATGTGCCCCTCTGATTCACAGGGGCATGATCTGACAGGCATAAAACACCATTGGCCAAATGTTAGCCAATAATGTTAAAGAGAAGTGAGCTGGAAGTCCATATTTTGAGTTGTGTAGAAAGCAGTCTCATATGCTGATTTTGCTTTAGACTGCACCATATTCGTTCACATCATTACTACCTCTCTTGAATGGCACTTGCTTCATCAGGCAACTTGCTCACTACAGATACAAATAAATTGGGCAGAGGTCAGGAGAGAACGAGGCATTTAGATAGCCGAGGCTTGTGAAGAAACGCTGAGCTCAACTTGTTCAATTATGAGAAAAACTTTAAGGAAGCAGGAGAGGCAAGCTTTAAAAAAAAAAGAGTTTCAGAAACACGAAAGCAATCCATCAGCCAACTTCCACATAACATCTGCTGGAAAATGGGCTGTTTTCAATTGCCGAAGACAGGCATGGATTAAAATATGATTTCTAGCTTGCAAGCATCAGACAAAGGAAAATATGACAACATAATAAATTACAAGTTGATCCATTTTTATGCAACTTCTCAAATTATAAAAATTATGAATTAATCCAAGTCACATGCTATAGACCAAAAACCTAAACCATGTTCCCTGGCAAAAAACCTACACTTTTAATTTTAAAAAGTAATTCATACAGATGTGTTTATGTCTCTTGGCTTAGTTCTGACCCCACTGAGGACAAGACTTCAGAACAATCAGAATTTTGGTCCAAGAGACCAGATTTTGCTCGGAATATTGAAAGCTTGATGGACTGAAACACGGATTGATGGAGTGCCAACTAAGATATGACTCACTCCCTGGAAACCAAGCAACTGCTTTGCAGTGCATCTTTATGCTAACAGACAGCCCACAAGCGTTAGCCAGCAGTAGAGAAGTTGCTTTTTCTTTTTTCTTTTAACAGTTAGGTTGCAAATAGCCCCGCAGATTAGCTTGACGATTTTAAAGGGCAGACAGCATCCTTCTTTTGTTCTTAACATGCACCTCTTTCTTTTGTTAACATGTTTCCTAAACAACAGCATTTTTAATTAGTTTGTACAGCCACCATAACTTATTTACAGGCAATGACTTCATGTTACCTAAAAGGGCATGCTTTAAAAGGCATTAAATAAGATCATTCAATTTGCTTCTTTTGGAGACATTTACTCTTCAAGAGCTGACTGGGTTTTTAAAGATTTTTTATCCCACCTTTATTATTTTTATAAATAGCTCAAGACCTCAGACATATGTAATACTCCTTCCTCCTCCTATTTTCCCCACAACAACCCTGTGAGGTGAGTTGGGCGGAGAGAGCGTGCCTGGCCCAAAGTCACCCAGCCAGCTTTCATCCCTGAGGCGGGACTAGAACTCACCATCTCCTGGTTTCTAAACTGGTGCCTTCACCACTGGCTCTAGTGGCACTATTCCATTATCATCCAGTCTCCAATTGTTCAATTTAATTCTAACTATCCATATATAAAGCCAGCTCTATATTCAATCATACCAGTAAGACTAAAAACAGAAACTAGAGAAAGATAAAAGGCAAATGCTGGCTTGGTTTTCAGTTATTCTAATGGAATTTCATGGGATACTCTAACAGGATGCAATCTAGGATATAATTAACGCTGTTTCCCATTTGTGCTCAGAGGGAATTTTAGATCCCTCCGTCAGGTGAAATGCATCTCTTTAGTATTTTCCATAGGAATAAGTAACACAAGCAGTCATTTATTTATGCAAAAGAAATTATAGTTTTCAGATAGGAAAAATCTGCCCAGCATATTAGACTTTGTGTCCATGCCCCCTTTAGGTATAAGAATATACAAGAGGTTTCTGGGGGAGGGGGTGTCAGTTGATGAAAACAGTACTATCCCATTGAGATGCAAGCTTCACCCCTTTTGTATACACATTGTGACACTGCATGCAGATACAAAAGGGACCTGTTTTGCACCACACTGTCACAGTACTGTTTTTGTCTTTTTGACAAAAGCCTTTGATCCTGCATACTTTGAATTTGAGTCTATTCAGTCCTGTTCTGCCTACTCCCCCACCCCAGGAACTCACAGACATATCAACAGTTTTTCCAACCATGAATGACAGATTATTTATTAATCCACTTAATATGAGCACTATATATATACCTTTTATCTTTAAATCTGATTGTGATTCTTTATTGAGAGATGAAAACTGCTCTCGAAGAGGTGGGTACACACTGCAGGGGAAGGCAAAACAAACTTTCAGAGCCTTGTTGAGGTATTGTAATACTCACACCCCTTCATAAATGCAAGTCATTCAAATTATTCAGAGAGATAGAAGGTGAAAGGGTAAAAAGGTATGTCTGCCTTTCTGAAGAGCAATACCAAACCATATAGACATCTGTTTTTGAATAACTGCTGATAGTGATTATGATTACTTCCTATAACAATAAAAACTGGTCCCACTCATGGATTTTCAATCTAGCAAGGGAGAAAACCTATAACATAGGATGAAGAGAGGAATAAGAGGAAGCAGCCATGATTGGGAGACTGGCCAGAGCAACAGGACAAAGGCAATTACTCTACTTATAAACATCCCTAGAAGAGAAGCTACAGAAGTATTTTTTCCAGGAAACCAGATTCCTTCATCCTGTACTTTACCTCATGGTTAAGGTTTTTTAAAAGAAAGAACAGAAGGAAAGGCGTTTCAAGGGAATAATGAAGTAGCTAGCAGTGATTCCCAGCGTAGAATTTAGTTCTGGTTGATCAGCATTCTATTCAACCAAACCTGACCCCACATAGCTTTTTAAGATCAGTCAAGGTTAGCTAGATGCTGCCACCTAGCTGGACACCCAATGAAATGAAAATTACTGCAAATTCTTTCTGATTAGCTGCTCTTAATTTATACAAACTGCTTCCTGCATCTTGTGATTTAATGCTATAGTGAATCTCCATACTTGCCACACCTTCCTAACTGTGCTAACATGAATAATCAAAGGGAAAGTAGTTTTCAAATGCCACACCTGTCATATGAACAGACTGGAAACGAGGAGAGAAATGAATCTTGCTTGTCAGAAATTGAAAATGCTAAAATTGCAATCTTATGATTTCTAGCAGAGCATCTTAAGAGCCACAGGATTTTCCAGTGCCTCACCCCGCAAGACCGCAGAGAGAACTCTTACTTTAGCAAAGAAATCTGGTATCAGAAATGTTCTCTTTTACCTCCCAGCACTGGAAAGGCTAAAAAACAGGCACGGCAAAGGTGGGCCTATGGATATATTGGATGCAGTGCCTCCTCAACTCTATGATCATGTCCCTCCAATGGGAATAATTTATTTATTATTTGGATTTAGAGGCTGGCCAACTCCCAGACGACCCTGGCCAGCTTACATTTTAAAAGTAAGAAATAATAAAATGAAGAGAAGAAAAAAGAAACAAGTCTGTCCAAAGAAAACAAGCCAACACACCAACCAAGAAAATTGACTGAGGCTCAATAAGACCAAATATGAAAAATCTCCAGATCCAGGGAGCCCAAACAGTTTCAGCCACTCATTCTTGAGCCTGAGTCTGTTCCTCCCAATCCAGACCCAAACAGCCTCCAGACATTGGGACAGGACCTTAACAACATCACCTGGATGGCCTGGGGTCAAGCCGTACAACTGATATTATCTGTATATTAACGATACCGGACTCTGAACTGACGGATGATCTTATTCAGGGGTTTTGTGTTAAACAAGACAGGGTATAAAGATTTTCTCTGCCTTTAGAAGGAAGTGAAGGAGAAAAACAAATCTGTTCTCTGTCTTCCCACTCTTCTGGGCTTATACTGGCAAATCTTTAGATTCCATTGAGACTGAACAAGATATTCTGGCAGTACTGTTAGATCTATCCTATCAGGGAATAAGGCTCCAGCTGTAATACCCATTACCTGACACAGATCCATTCCAATATGTCCAAACGATGGGACGAAGGACTGAATAGCAATTTCTGTATGTCTTCAGCCTCTGACAGGTAGACACCCTCTAGTGCAGGGCAGCCCAGTTCCTGAGGATAGTGAAAAACAAAAGCAGAAATACCTCCTCTCATTCTAGGCATCCCTCTATACTTCTTGAATCCTGCTAGGATCTCCACCACCAAAAATACTTCATCTTCTTACTCTCCTTTCCCATAGACCTATCCTAACATTAGCAGTCCAAGAACTTAAAAAACAAATAAATATATAATATTCTGAAATATGAGGTCAGCTTTTTACTCTGTTTATACTGAGTTGAAGTAGCTTGTTGTATACTAACAGATGCACACAAACAAGTAAGCTATTTTTTTTCCTGAAGCACAAGCTTCTACAAATAATGCATGTAAAGTTCCAGAGATTTCTAAACAAACATTAGGCTTTAATGAAGAGCGAGAAGTGTATGTTAAATAAAAGTTCAAGAATTCTAGGAAAGGTCATGATGCCCTCCATACAATATTCTCTTTTTCAAGTATAGCAGCCACACTTGGAGTTTTCACAGCCAATTTTACCTAATCCACAAACTCCAATGCCTTTCTATGTTTGTTTGTTTGTTTATTTATTAAACTTGTCCCCGCCCTCCTCCCCCCAAGGGGGGACTCTGGGCGGCTTACAACATATTAAAACAAT